TAAGCTTCTACTAATCTTCAAATCTCAGAAAGATCGTATCAGGAACTGTTTGCTGCAGTTGCTGAACGTGACGAACAGTCTGTCTGCAGTCGCTGACAAACACCAACTAACGCCCACCGTAGCACTTGATGCTTCAGCCAGTATCACCTCTAGTACTTCGATTTGAGGCAGTTGTCGTCGCCTTGACTGAGTATCATATGCAACTCGGTGATTATCGATTGATAAAGAGGACACCTGCTGTTGGAGAGCTGTTGGCCGCCCATTATCCCTCGCGATTCCGAGTGAGTTGTGAGCGTGTGTGTGTGATTAGTGATCCCGACTTAAGTCATATCGTAAGAGTTCTTTATGTCGCCACGCTAAAACAGCGAAAATCATCCGTGACGTCATCGGGAACGCGTACTCTCAACGACCTTTAGGCCGTAATTGCCTTCGGGCAAAAACTTCAATTTGCTCGATCACGTTTTTCTTAGGATGAAGTGAGTGAATTCTCCAGCTTCTTCCATAAATTCCCTAAACATATAGGTTTTTCTTCATTTTTTTAAACTCTAGGGAAAACATGCAGAAAATTTGGCAATGGATTCGTGATCGTAAAACAAACACACTGCGAAAATGGCGAAGTACAGTAATGCAGAAAACACCTACTGACGAAGAGGTCTCCAAAAACAGCCGTAAACGTGTAGGTAAGGTACTAGAAATTCTTTCCGCCTTCATCTCTTTCTTTTCTCAAAATAAGTAAATTGTTTTTGTATCTTTTTTTCCTTTTTTTTCGAAATTTGCATCAGTTTGGTAAGAAACATGAGCTTCTTAATGTTATGCCTACCTAAAATTATGTCTTCGTTATCATCGGTAGAGTTGGTTGAACATAACAACGTCCAATCCCTTTGAGAATGTCATAAAATGCAAAAAGTTCTTCATATGCCCCAAAAACAGATTTCCAAGTATCTTCAAGACTCGTTAATAACTGTTGTATAAGAGCGTTTTATTTATTTGCTCTCTTTTCCTTTGCATATTTTTCATTCATCTTGCACTATATGCAGAGGTCTACCACCGTTTCGCAGAATCTATCTCTTCTCAGGTTATTTCCTACTTATTCATTTGGGTTAAACATCTTTGTGAATTTCAATAGAATATATATATATATATATATATGAAATTAATATATATTTATATATTATCATATTATCATAAGGCCATTGTTTACGATTGCGCCAGGTAAACAAGCAAAAGTTTTCCATTGAGCGAGTTTTTTTCGCAGCTATTGCGCAACTCGCTTTCTACTGACAGCTACCTACTCTACTATTTAGCACAGTCGGTTATTTCTTGAAACATCGCTGAGTCATTGTCCTATAATGCAGTGAGTTGAGTCTAATAAACAAAATCAAAACTTTTTTCTTCTAAAACGTTTCATTCCTCTTCGCATTGAGAATCTTAAGAAATAGGCTCTGCTTGTAAACTTATTCTCTCATTGAAAAAAAAGTAATCGCAAGATTTAAAAGTGTTCTTATAATTTTCAAGTTCCTGTTATGACCCCAAAGAGGGGAGCAGAAGCAATATTGTTTGTTCGACGATTATAAGCTCTTTAAACCAACTTTTGGTTTGTTTAAAATCCTTTCAATCCCCGAGGGCATCGCACTTTTACTAGCTTTCTACCTTCCTGTCTGAAAGCAGTGTTTATCTCTAATTTTTGGCTGGTCCCATTATGTGTTAGTGATGAAGAGAACACCTGTGAATGAAGAAGTTCCATTATTTGCTGTGAAAATCTCTGCATAGTGTAAAATTCTAACATTCAGCCATTCATCTTATCATAAGCCATTTTTTCGGTAAGTTGATGACATGTTTAAAACATGAAATTAATCATGTACTTTTCATTGGCTCATTTTCTCCAACAATATGCGTTTTTTACTTTGCGTTGGATTGATAATTGCATAATCAGATTTACACATTTTATTTAATGGCCCATGTAGTACAAGTGTTTTCCATTGCCTTCCACATGGCAAGCATTTCATGATTGGCAAAGCAAATCAAAACAAATTTTTTTGCTTGCAGGCCATAGTATCTCCGACATAAATCTTCCGTCGACATCTAAAACGCCGGAGTTTGAGCAATTTTTCAACGAGCCAAAAACGAAAAACTTTCTTGACGTGAGTTTTGCTTACCAGTTTTATTTCCGTTTCAATTTGTTCGAGTTTTCTTGCGTCATTTGAGTTCTTTGTTCTTTCCATCCGTCTTACATTACACTATTGTGCTGCTGACACACTGCATATGTATAGGCTGGTCTGTCACTGGAGAGGCTATACGCTTGCAGCTGGTTAGTATTAACAGCTGTGAGTAAAAAATGTTTTTGTTTTTTGGTCCGGTTGTGATTTCTAGGGTATGAAACACATCTACCGAAATGTGATGTGATCAAATTTACAATGATTAATGAGAGATTCCTTTGCAGTGATTGGATAACGTTTTGATAGCGCAAGCAGCGATTTCTTCAAGGTTGTTATAGTTGAAGTTTTTGAGTATGATCAAAATGACTTCCTAAATTTTACGCTTTCATTATTTTCAAAAAAATGTCGAAAACATAGAATGAGAGAAGACAACAGGCTTATTAGAGCTTTTTTACAGCCACCTCATGCTTGGTTGCTGATAAGCAAAATCTTGATTAAAAGAAAAGTCCTATGCTAAAAAGTCAATTTTGGTAAGAGAATTTGAATTGTTGAAATTCGATATCATCTACTTCTCCACAGTTGCGTATAAGAGATGAAATGGCCTTTTTCACTTACCCCTTTAATTTTTTGGCATCATTTGTAATATCTATGCTTTTTTGTCAACCCCATTACCTCGGTAAGCATGATTGTCCATTTTGCACGTGTAAACTTGCAAGCGTTTCTTGCAAGTGTGATTGATTATAACGTAATCAGTAGGAGGAAAAGATAAACATGATATTTGTTGGGATTTTTATTTATAATGCGATTCTTTTCTTCAGAAAACTTAGTAAGAAAATGAAAGGGGAATTTGGACTTCCATAGATTTTTGAGGAGCTGGAGGCTTTCAAAACCGATAAGAAGTGTTAAATAGCAATTGTCTTCGATTTGATTCTTAGAGCAGTCTTTCATCTGAAGCAGATTTCATATCTGGGCATTTTATTGGTCAATTTATTAATTTTCCCTAACTATTCTTTCTGCTATATTTTTCTGAACCTACTTTCTGTTCTCTTCTTATCTTGTTTCTCGTTAATTATAAATTCTCACGGCTGGTAACAAATGTCCGATAATGCTATGTCTGGTGCTTCGGTGTTCTTTGAAGTGTGCTGTGTTTATTGATGGTAAACTCCCCTCATCAACGGCTGGTGGAGTCATTATATCCTAAGTGCCGACTCTCAAGGATGCTATCAGTATTGTACTTCCGCTAAAATTTGTGTCATGGGAATAGCTGCAATTCTCCCGAACGTTGGAAGAATTTAGTGTAAGAGAATCTAGGAGACTATGTAATATGCATGAATGGGTCCCCTGAGGACGATTTTTACGTCGATATGCCTCCGAATAGTACAACCTTATAAAAACGCAATCACCCTAGTTGTTTTGATGAAAAATTTCAAAGAAGACACAATTTTAGACAGAAGCTTCTAATATGCTGGTTGGTGGTTTGGATAGACCGCACTGATGTTTGACCATGCGTAGATTGTCAAAAAAGTGTCCGAGTG